ACGTCTCGTGTTGTTTCGGAATAAAACCAAACAAAACGAAACCGCGCGATTTCGTGTCGTTTGGTTTCGCTTCGTTTGGTTTCGTTTCGTTTGGTTTCGCTTCGTTTGGTTTCGTTTCGTTTGGTTTCGTTTCGTTTGGTTTCGATATATTCCTAAAAATTATTCGTTTGGTTTCGATTGGTTTCGATATATTCAAAAATCGAAGATATTAAGTGTTGTTGGTTCTGCGCCTTCCTTTTCGAGGCGAACGATTTTTCAATATATCGAAACCAATCAAAACCAAACGAAAGGAAACCAAACGAAACGAAACCAAACCAAACGAAACCAAACGAAGCGAAACCAAACGACACGAAATCGCGCGGTTTCGTTTTGTTTGGTTTTATTCCGAAACAACACGCGACGTGTGGTTTCGTGTCGTTTGGTTTCGTTTGGAAACCTCCGCTCTGTTCGGTGTTGTTTCGTTTGGCATGTGCGGTTTGATTCGGAATAGATAACTAGTTACGACGCGTCACACGCATCAGATGCAAACTCCCCGCAACTCCCAGGGACATCCCGAAAAATCTGTAGATTTCATTTTTTTTGACCAAAGCACCCCCTGCCGCAGGAAGATATGTATTTCACTTGGCGGTCCGCTCGTCAACGGGAACAGGCCTAAAGGTTTCACTTGGCGGTCCGCTCGTCGATGGAACAGGCCTAAAGGAATAGAAATAGACCCTTAATAGAAAAATTCAATTTGTTTAAAGATTATTTCTCTTATTAAATGTCAAAAATATCTTGGTCTGACAAGCGGTCCAGCGGTTTTGATTGAGAGGGTTCATTAAATCCTCTAAGTATAGTTTGATCGCGAGCCAAAGTTGTTGTGAATAAACAGGCGCGGTTGCCCCTGCGGAGGTCCCATCATGCGTTTGAAGAGGTCCCACCCCCTGTACCTGGTTGCAATTGCAGACAAATTCGAAAATAGCAACTACCCCTCTTTGTTCATTACTGCAGAGCTGAGTGCTGAGTGCTGAGTGCTTCCAGTGCAATGCACCCATTGAAACCTCCTTGCTTCATTAGGGCTGAGTATTTCCAGTGCTATGCACCCATTGACTCTTGTATCTCAGTAGAGATCACCCAAACTGTTGTAAGAAAACCACAACTCCTTGCTTGATTTCCGGCAGACAATGTTGCGACAGTGCTACACCTTCCGAATGTATTGTAATGGTACAGAAACGTATTGGTCGCCCCTCCTGAAAGGGAATGCCAGAACCTGATGTGCCAGAGATACTGGACGGCTTGCTTTGACAGTCTAGGATTCGATGTCTTGTTTTGGAGCGTTGTTCTTGCTTAGTATGTCAGCATGGAGCACCTTGGACATCACTACATGACAACGACGCCAGTGACGACGGTTCACTGTCTTTCGACGGCAAGCAGAAACGACAATCCACTGCAAGCAAACATGCAATGTCTTCGTCTTTCAATGGCAAGCACAAAGCCGACGACAATGCGCTACAAGAAAGAATGTCTTTGTCCAAGATGAGTGGCCTTTCGTATTAACTTCCATACCATATGCCAACTTGGGGTCCCTCGGAACTGCTCTTCCCAAGTCAAGCTACCTGATTTCTTCTCAAGATCTCATTTGTGGTATTATCGTTTTGTTGATTTCTTGTTTATTGATGTTGTCAGGCTTTGGACACATAAGAACTATTACGAGCAATAAGCATCACTATATAACAGATTACTACTAAGCTAGGCTACTACTTTCTGTATTTTCTTCTCACTGCAAAGAGTTCCTTATGGATATCGTTTTTTTCTTCCTCATTGTTGATTTTTTGTTTGGATCTCAGCGTAGTTCAAATAGTTGATGAATTTTAGCTTGCGAACAGCTTGGTAGATCCTAGGTCTGAAGGAGAAATTTACATCTCCATTACCGTATGAATACGACAAATTGATGTAGCGTGTTAATTGAAAAATATCAGTGGATGATCGTGAAGATTCAAAGTTCTCTGTAGATGAACCAGCTACAGAGAACTTTCTTTCTTCACGATCATCTACAGACTTTTATTATATAGATGGTGGTGGCGTGTATATTGAAAATTCCCTGTAGATGATCGTGAAGACAAAAAGATCTCTGTAGATGGTCGTGAAAATTCAAAATTCTCTGTAGATGATCGTGGAACTTGTTAAGTAATACTTATCGGTTCAATTCCACGATTATCTACAGAGACTTTTGAAGTTTCACGACCATATACATAGAACCTTGAATCTTCACGATCATCTACAGACTTTTATTATATAGACGGTGGTGGCGCGTTAATTAAAAATTCCCTGTAGATGATGGTGAAGACAAAAAGATCTCTGTAGATGGTCGTGAAAATTCAAGATTCTTGGTAGATGATCGTGGAACTTGTTAAGTAATACTTATCGGTTCAATTCCACGATTATCTACAGAGAATTTTGAATTTTCACGACCAGCTACAAAGAACTTTGAATCTTCACGATCATCTACAGACTTTTATTATATAGACGGTGGTGGCGCGTTAATTAAAAATTCCCTGTAGATGATCGTGAAGACAAAAAGATCTCTGTAGATGGTCGTGAAAATTCAAGATTCTCGGTAGATGATCGTGGAACTTGTTAAGTAATACTTATCGGTTCAATTCCACGATTATCTGCAGAGAATTTTGAATTTTCACGACCAGCTACAAAGAACTTTCTTTCTTCACGATCATCTACAGAGAACTTTTTGTTCTACGCGACAGTTGTTATAAGTAACATCTGGTGGCCCGTTAAATGAAATAGACCTCAAAAATCTGTAGATGGTCGTAAAAACTCAGAAAAAACCTGTAGATAATCGTGAAGATCGAAGATTTTCACGACTATCTACAGGTTTTTCCTGAATTTTCACGACCAGCTACAGACATTTGAGGCCTTTTGCAATTTCTCGCACTGGCGGAAGGACAATGGCTCGCTTTTCTCCTTCTGGAAGGAGTGCCATTTTTTACCAAAAAAATCAGTTACAGATTTTTTGGCATGTCCCAGGTGCAATAGTCTTCCACTTTTGCCACTGTCCAAGAACAGTTTGTGGGTTGTCGTGCCGTTTGTTGAATGTCCCGCTAGTAATTTGCGGGTTCAACCCAAACCTTCCACCGCTTGAAATGTGCAAGAAGAAGAGAAGAACAAGTGTTTGGATCTCTGCAGCCTTGTTCAATAATTGCTCTTCAGCTGGTTTTGTTTCTGTATGATGTTTTGTACCTTTGTTTATCACGCCTTGCTTGTGGCATGATTGCTGGAAATTATGAAAAAGCATTGGAGTTTTAGCAACTAGTCTCCGATCGTGTTTTCATTCCGTTGGGTGAAATAATTTTGTGCCAACTGCAACGCCGTCAGTCCCAGGAAAGTTCAATTTGTGGGTTTGCGTATCAGATACGTCTGGTGCGCGTTTCAAGCAAACCCGAGAATGCCATTAGTTTAAAGTTACCTAAAAACTGAGAACCCAAAAACGGAATTTCGCGCTCACAAATTTTGGTCTGATTCCTCCGGACTATAAACAATGCAGCAAACACGGCAAGGCCATCATGTGGTGCGGGTCCCATCATTTAGTCCAGCCCAATTCAGAACCATTGCAATTGCCATGTTACGCACTCCGAATAATAATAACTGAGACATTAATTGTTAATATGCTACTCTATGGGCATTCGATTGCCGGTGAAATATTCGGCTGTAAAGGTCAAGTACTGTGAAGCGGTGAGTCAACAACAAGTTTGAACCATATGAGGCATCTGTATTTTGAACAGAAGTTGCTCAAGTCTCCCAAAGGGGTAAAGACTTCTCCCGCGACGTGGCGGGGTGAATTCGGGGCATGTAAGGTCCCGCAAAAAGTTGGTCAGGGTCCAGGGGAGAAAATAGTCCGCAGACTGCGGCGTTGTGCTTTGATGGAGCGACGGAAATCTCTGCGTTCCTGACGAAGCAACTTAAGCCACTCTTCCTTGTCTACCAATGACTTGCGAAGGACTCGTCGACGGCATGTTAGCATCGGTTGAATTTCCTTAGGCAAGTCATCGGGACCCATATCAAACTGGGAGTGAATCCCCTCATTGACAGTACTGTGACGTTCACGTAATTGAACGTTATCATCCGAATGTTGAACGGAGTTCCGTTGCTCCCACATGTAGAAGCCGATGGAGATCAGCTGTTGTGAGAGGCGGGACGCCCAAAGAGAGACAGATCGTCGACATCTTATCTTGTCATAATATTGTTGTTGGAGTGGAAGCCAAGACGAGGCGATGCGTCCCTCCAAAAGGCCTTGAGACCCAATCACCTGCTGAGCCAAGAAGGCCGGCCAAACCGAAGAGGAGTTGGGCCTTGGGGGAAATAAAGGAGGTGTGTGAACGCCCTGAAGAAGCTGTAGGATCGCTATTTTGATGGAAGGGCCCGTCAGTTGCAGGTCTAGCCACGCGGAGAAGGCTGCAGTGCGACGATCCCATTCAGCTGTTGCCGAAGCAGCGCTGCAGCGGGGAACATGCAGATGATCCTCGAAGTCGCCGCAGCGTGGGCAAGCTGCTGATGTCTCCAGACCCCATAGAACTTTAAATTTGCCTGTGCCGCACATGCCCACACAATGTTTAGTAGACCACCTTTGTAGTCCTGCAGGAAGAGATCGCATGGCGCGACCCATTGTGTCCCAGGCAATCTCAGACTCGTTTTCAGCCGCGGTCCCCAACTCGTTCTTGAAGGATCCATCGCTGATCACACGCAGGCGACCGTCCAACAGAGCATCAGCTAAGGTGGCTTCGTCACCGTGAACCTCGATCTCATTGGGGACCCACCCGTAGTAGTCCGTGCAGAGCTCGGCAGCCGTCTGCCACGCGTGAAGAATGGATGGGCTGGAGGAAGAAGACGGTTCAGTGGCACGGCCAGTACCGGTGAGAAGAACCCTGTCAGATCCTGTGATGGAGCGAACTGTAGCACGAAGAGCGTCAGAAGGGAGAGGTGCCGTCCACCATGGGCAGGAAGGATGGGACGGCCCTGGCGCGTAGCGACGTGACGTGGTGGGAGAGCCTTCAGAGCTAAAGTGTTTCCAGGTTCCCCCATGGCGGTGGAAAAGGTCTGTAGTGGGGGACAATAGCCAATTCCAGTCCTCCAGACGGTCAGTCCATGGCCCCAAGGGCTGTTGTAGTGGGTGATGTGGCCCGTTGGAGGCAAGCAGGGCTCTGGACAAGGTGGTCTGCCACAGGTCCCAGTGTTGCCTTGTT